TTCTGTGACCGTACATACTATAATTATTTAACCCATTCGCTGCCAAGGACGAGTATACTCGTCTTTGGCAGGGTGTCACGCATTGCCAGGACGAGTATACTTGTCTTGCTTTAAATATATTATAACACGCAGGCTCTTTTGAAGGCCCATTGCCAACGACGAGTATACTCGTCTTTGGTTTTCTGCTTCTAAATGATTATGTATGATAATATATGTGCTCTTACCAAGAAATAACTTGGCAGCGAATGGGTTAATACGAAGCATTGTTTGAAGACAACAGTTCGGTGATCAGAATAACTTTGTCCGGGGGGGAATGTAACTCAGCTCGGGTCAATGGAAAAAGTATCTCCTCGGCGAAAGGACAGGGCAATAATAATTTAATCAGCGGAGGGTATCTTCCGAGTTGGTAACGGTGGATGAGCGAGGGAGAGGGTCGGTCTTCGTTCTGCCATCCGGGAGAACATATTAATATCTCGAGTTTTGACGTCTGAAGTCGTCGGCGGAGCCGAGAGCTCAGTCGTTTGCTCCTGGAAGGGAGGAGTGGCGCAGGAACGGGCGGGCGGGCGATGTTGCAGTAGTCGGAGGAGTAATCAGAGGGCTAGATTAATTGTTTCCACGGGACTCTTGGCCTGGGGTAACACAAATACACGGAAGACTTCGGAAGCGGCACTTCGTGATAATGTCGACGGAACAGACACAATGCAGGGCCCTGCCATAACTCAGAGCCAACCTCCTCGGGAATCCTTTCTGCCCTCCTTCCCCGGTTCCAGTCCACGCGAGGAGAGGAGAACCGTGTAACGTGTGTAAATATTCCATACGGACTGAGTCACTTAAAGTTACCACCTGAGGCGTTTACCTTACTGCCTGAGCTAATAAACGCTTTTCGCCGGAGTTTGACTATTTCGACGGATCGCGCGCGCCTCCGCGCGCTTCCACCTTCCATCCCCCCGGATTCCCATGTAAATTATCCGGGAATCGTAACCATCCACGCCGCGATTCGATTGTTGCCGCGGTGTTTACCAGCCGCTGAAGCACGTTTCTCGCGCGCCACCGCTCCGGAGGCCAGTTTTCAAGGGGAGATCCGACGGAACAAATATCGGCACCGAATATCCCGGGTTTGTTTAGCTGCCGATGCTTCAGTTCCCATCTGCACATGGTACAAACGTTTCCGAGCTGAAAAATATTCGTGAAAGACAACGAACATTGAAAACTTGTATTGGCTTACCTATTGTAACAAAAATCTGAAACGTCTATCTATCATTATGTCATGATACCGTGTCGAACGTACGTCGGGCAATCAATTCCTCATCCGAGCAACAGCCCATTTCGAAGATATCCCCCGCCATCGAGCCTCGAACTCTTCCGATTGAATTCCTCGATGATCTATGAATCGGGTATAACGATAACTCGATGATCGTTCCGTTTTATCCAATATCGTGTACAAACTCTACACCGTCTCGCACGGTCATAGTATCGCCTTTGAGCTGCGCGCGTTGCACCGCTGCCACCCCGCCCGGCTCGTAAATAAAGCGGAAGCCGGGTACTATCTGACTTTTATTCGATTTAGAGGCGAGCCGGCGAGCTTAACCAGTAAAGAAGCTCGAGTGGTAGTCGAGTAAAGGAAGCGCGGGCTGAGGAACGTGATGCCGCACATTTTTCGTCGCCTCCCCCGCTCCCTCGCACGGTTAGACAGGATATGTCGCCTCCTCGACTGCCCCGGGTTACAACGGGATCCTCTTCGTCGCGTTTTTACCGGTTATCGAGTTCCCGGCGACGAATCGGACGAGTTGTTGCCGGCTCGATTGCCGTTCGACCCGTAACGAGTAAAAGGAGCGTGTTATGATACTCGCGAGCTGCACGCAATTTCATATCTGTTCTCTCTCCGTTCGTTTCCTCGAGCTCCCTTTTATTGGAAAGTCGATAGTAGTCGGTTCGAGTGCATGGGAAACGATGAAATTTAAGCGGACCCTTTGAATTACGACGACCCCGAGTCGACGCAACGTCAACGACGAGGAGGTATTTATCTAAAAAGAGACAAAAAAAAAGAGAGGTGCTCGAGATAACCTCCGGAGCGAGCTTCGTTTCACGGAAGTAGTTTTTACGCGTCCATTAACGAGGGAACGCGTTCCTTTCTTGCCGTGAAACACAAGCGGAGCCCCTCGTTCACATTTTTGTCCTGTCCCTCGTTTTTCTCTTCGTTTATTTTTATACTGTGTTACGGTGCTTGTCGCTTTTACCTGGCCATCGAATTTCACTAGTCGAATTCAAGAATACTCAAAGCCACTGCTGTGTTACGTGACATAAAGGTCTGTTTCCCCGTATCTCATTCTATCCAAGTACACAGAATTATGTCTCTCGAATTATATTTATAAAACTCGACGCCTGAGCTACGGTTTTCATTAATCTAAAAGCAATGTAATAAATTAATTCATTTCAGGTTTTTATAGTGTAAATGAAAATTAATTTATTCAGTTCGAATTGCATGAGTTCGTTGCATGACAGTTTTATTCATTGAGAAAATTAATCCTAAGAAATTTTTATTTATGTATTCTATTATTTACTGTAGTATTTACTGTAATGGAAACTTTTTATTTTTAGCACATTTTTATTCTTAAGCACATTTACAGTCTATTAAATCAACACCTAAATTTTATTCTAAACCTAAAATGTATACCTGCTCAAAACATGACAAAAACTTAAAGCTTTAGCTTTTAATACAAGAGAGTATGTTAAACTATTAATATGAAGTATTTGTATCGTGCATTTTGGGGTATGTAAAATTTGTTGGAAGCGGATCAATCTTTGGTAAGATATCGGCAACGCGATCCTCATAGGAGGGGTGGGTTGTTAGGTATTGTATTGTATCAGAGGAGCGCGAGTGTCGTCTCGCGGCCGTGCGTCATACGTTACGCGAGCTCGACACCGCATTCCCTAAGGGGTACCCGGTGTAATTAGTAATTTGTAGTTGCGGAGGAGGAGACGGTGCCGTGGCAGCGGCTTCATTCACCGTGTACGCCGCGCATAACAGTCATTTCGACGAGACCCTCTCTGACGTTGGCATTGTGTTTGCGGATCGCGCTCCGTTAAGTCGCAAAACGCGTTACTCCGTTACGAACACTCCTACGCGTTGCACTGTGGCTACCGAGAGAAAGAGAGAGAGAGAGTGCCACTTAATTTCCGAATGTCTGTCAAAGCGGCTCTCCAGTTTTTCGCGGTTGCTAATTTTGACTTCCTTCGAGGCGCGATGCGCGAACGAGATTTCATTAGGGTTTCGCTACTTTCATCAACGCTTTGACTCGGAAGATAATGAGACTCGAAACGCCTTTTGACGTCGCGCTACGCTAACTTCAAACCATTACGCAATAGTTGATTGCGACTTTTTAATCATTTATGGCTCCTTATTTCAACGGGAGGAGTTTTAACCGTTATCTTGGCTATAAATTCTGATATTTGTTCAACTTATGATTTATTTGATCCGGCCTCCTGCAAAGTCGTCCTCCCGTGAGAGACAAAAACTTTCCTGGCAATCAGCTTGCGAAAACAATCGACGAAAGTTGAGCTTATTGCAACGGTATTAATAGTTTGTTCAATCATTCGTGTCCGTAAACAACGTACATGTTACTTC